CTTTGGTACTTACACTGGATTCTTTATCAAGTCTTGTAATGCTTCCCTCCAGCTTTCTTTGCTGGAATCCTTGAGTGTGAGCGTGAGTGCGACGCCACGGTCACGCATGGCGCGGCCGTTGAGCGCCTGGTCGGCGTACAGGGGCACGGTTAGCATAGGGACACCGCACGCTACTGCCTCCTGTGTCCCTAGTAGACCACCGTGAGATACGAACAGCTTGGTGTTTGGGTGGCCTAAGAGAATGAAAAAAATATCGAGAATTACTATGGGTTTCTGAGACCAAAATCACCGTTTAAAACATGTTGTTATCTCAGTTTTGTCAAAGGCAATGACAGGAACGATGATGTATGTTTCATTCAGAGATTTTGGCTTTAAAACCACCGTTAGGGGACGTTTTAAAATCAAATTCATAAATGAGCAACATGGGTTGGAACAACAATGGGTCTTGGTTTAATGACGGATTAATTAGTAAGTATATATATTATATAAAAAAAAATTAATACATATTTAAACCTTACACAATGTTTTGTACTGCGGTATCCAGTCCATTGTATAAACATTGTCTGGCACGGTGATATTTCTCGCCAACATTCTTCTATTCATTTTCACCAGCACAGTCTGAGGCAGTTCTGACAACACTTCGAATATTTGCTCTAACTTCTTTTTAGGTATTGTCTCTATCCTTGACATAGATCCAAAACTCCAGTATACCACGCCACGATACGATTTGTCCATAATGGTCTTCAGTTCCTACAATGTAACAACAAGTTCATTAAAAAAAAAAGAAACTAGCATACTTTTTGGGACTTTGTAAAGATAGGTCAAACTACATGAATGCGAAATTCTTGGTAACCACTCCGATAGTGCAATTCGGATGTAACAGTATAATTTATTCTACATTATCAAGACGCAATGGGCCTAGGGTCGGGGGTCGATGCGATAGTCGGATTCCCTTCTGCATTATGTTTTATGTGGGTTAATAGTTATTTAGCAGAATAGATTGTTGCTAATGAAAGTGACTAGTAAACAATATCGTCGTTATCTACACTTTTCCACATCGTTTTAAGTCTTGAGTATGACTTTTTCGTATGTATCTTGAGTAGGGTTTAGCCAATAGCGGTTTGACAAGCAGATAATTTATTTCCCACTATTGTAAAGAGAGTGTTCGATGCAGAATGTGCTGACGTTTCGATTTTCCTCGTTTCTTCTGCACCAGAAAACGTATATGTGTATCGCCGATAACCCTTCAATACCATATCGGTAATCTATTACATATTTCACCTTCGGCGACCCTCTTTAATACTCTGAAGTAATTTTCTTCGTCTCTTTCCTTGTTACATCGTATCTTCACATCACTAGTATTTTAATTGGCTTTAATAAAATAAATGCTATCGATTACATAAATTCTTGTTACATTTTATTCGAATGAATGAATTTATGCTTGGTTTACATTAGGCCAGTACAGTAGGAAAGTAGCGCTCAAACAACTGGTATTGAGTAAAATCTAACTGGCACCAGTGAGCTTCTGGTACACATTTGGTGGTACTACGAAGCGTGGTCACACTTTTACTGGTACTACATTGCGATATGAAGGTAACAAATTAATAATATGTCCAAATAATCTCTAGAATTCCCTATCGTAACAAAGATTTTTCTAACTAAATTTAATACTAAACATCAGAATTGTGTAAATAATTTTCTTCTTACCCTCGGCATTGTCTGTGAGTCGTCCAAATGTAGTCCACCAACTTCCACTAGCGCAGGCACCAATGGTCGCACTTCGTTTATGCTGAAATGACTATTCGACAGCACTAGACTGTAGTTCTTGGCCAATTCCTCCAGCTTTGGTCCTGGTCCAAATAGACGATCTGCTATCAGCTGCAAAGATAAATTTTACTTCTATATCTATAGTAATGATAGGCCGATAATAATGATTAAAAAAATAAAGAAAAAAGATTCATTACCTGTGATGGCATTTGAGATTTGTACTGGTACAAAAACTTAGACCATAGCACCGCTAATGTGTTCATCAGTCTTTCCCATAGCGTCATTTGCTGTCCGTAACTCATCATGTAAGCTGGCACATAAGATGTTGCTTCTGGATTACCCAGTTGTTCATTCACCCATGGTAGTGGTACGCTCGATAGTACCCCAACAATTGGAGCTTCGAACCTTCTGCCGAATGGTAAAAAGCACTCGCTTCCGAATACTTCCACAATAACCAAATCAAAACTAAGCGTAGAATTCACCAAGGCTTTGACTGCGGGTAGTTGAGAAACTGTCTCGCAAGCGTGAACACATTCCTTCATTATCTGCTCCAAGTTTCGGATAAAGTGCGGTTTCAATGTGTTGTGCTGTCTGGTCAAATTGTTGGTAATTTCCGGAATCGTACCGGCTAGACTTATTTCTTCTACGTTCGGTGGTGGGTTTTTCTGAAACCATTACTTAAAATAAAATAATTTTACTGAAAATAGTTTGAACAATTTTGCGGTTTTCTTCAAATAGAAAAAGTTTAGTGTTAGATAATAAAACAATAGTCGGCAGAGAGTGTGGTTCGGGAGCGCGTGCCGTGCGCGATAAAAGCGCAGACGCGGGTCGGAGGGCGCGGTATCATGTAAGCCACACATGCTGTGCCGCTAACTGTATTACTATCGTTATATCACCCTTATCGTGCCACACAACATCGTTTCATTGTCTTAAACGTGCAACTAATGACAACATTGAATAGGATTCGATTTATCAATAAATTTTAATACACGCTCTTTCATGAACTTGAGTTCAACGAATTTTTCTCTGTGTGTGTGATTCTGATGTGAAAGAGATATCGAACTATTCGATACAAGATTTACAACTTTTATAGTATATCGCCAACTATTATACAACGTTGAAATTGCAAGATTGCGTCAGTGAAATCTTTTTCTTTTTAAATACTAGCGATGTTCAAAAAATCGAACGACATACATGGTTATGTTACATAACAACTAAAATTTATTCACAATCTTAGAATTGCGAATCGATTCATTCACTTAAACGATGTTTTTAAGCAGCTCACCTCACTATTAACTAAAATTGATCTCAAATGTAGCCTATTAAATTAGTATTTGTATAAGTGGAAACATACATGTATTTTAAGGTCAGCTTATTATTTGATGTTTCACAAATAATAAATGTTTATTTGAAGGTATCTCCAGTACAGTTGAACGGATCTCGATGATTTTTGGTATACAAATAGAACATAGTTTGGCAGAACACATAGGCTACTAATTATGTTTTTTGAATGCCGCGCGGACGGAGACGCGGGCGACGGCTAGTAAATACATAAAAGGGCCAATATGTCGATTAGTGCAATGCTATACAAACAGTTTTATA